GGAAGATGGCGTGGCCCTTCATTTGAACAAACTTGAGTTCCCTTTACCCAAGGATACTCTGTGCCAAGTTTGGTTGAAAATGGCCCAGTAGTTCTGGAGAAGTTGATGAAATTGTGAAAAGTTTACAACAAAAACGACGACAGACAATGGACAAATTTTGATCAGAATAGCTCACTTGCGCCTTCGGCCCAGGTGAGCTAAAAAGATATACATTCAAAGGATATCATTCTTTCCTGATTGATTGTTTGGGGCTTAACATGGAGTCGGATGTATTTCAGGCCTTTTGGTAATTCTGCTGCAACTTTTATTCTAAGAAGAATGATAGTGATTATAATGGTTTTGACTAAATTCGTGCCTTGTTTTACTGAAATGAAACCAAGGCTGTAAAAGACATAAACAAAAAAAAAAAAAAATAAAGTTTCATCTTTCTTTCAAATGGTCATGCATCAATTGATCTGCAAGAAAGATGTCCATGACAGTCACCTAAATTTACACTCTTGCCCCTGCAGGAACTCAAACTGTTGATTGAATTTTGTATTTAAGTATACTGTACTTTAGAACAAGAGGCCCATGGGCCACAACACTCACATGAGTTACTTTGGCCTTACTGTTCTTCACCAGATTTTCCCCCTTGTAATACCTTTTGTTGCCCCACCCTACCACCAGGGGTCATGATTTCAAAAATTTAGAATCTACACTACCCCCAGGATGCTTCCTTGTGAGTTTCAGCTTTTATGGCCCAGTGGTTCTTGAGAAGAAGATTTTAAAGATTTTTTCTATATATTTCAATGTAAAACTTGAATTCCCTATTGTAGCCCCACCCTACCCCCGCGGGTCATGATTTGAACAATTTAGAATCTAAACTACCCCGGGATGCTTTCACATAAGTTTCAGCTTTTCTGGCCCATTGGTCCTGAGGACAAGAGTTTTAAAAACTTTTCCTATATATTTCAATGTAAAAATTGGATTCCCTTTTGTGGCCCCGCTCTACCCCCAGGGGTCATGATTTGAACAAATTAGAATCTACACTACTACAGGATGCTTCCACATAAGTTTCAGATTTTCTGGCTCAGTGGTTCTTGAGAAGATTTTTAAAGATATTTCCTATATATTTCAATGTAAAAATTGGATTCCCCATTGTGGCCCCGCCCTATCCCCGGGGGTCACGATTTGAACAATTTAGAATCTACACTACCCCAGGATGCTTCCACATAAGTTTCAGTTTTTCTGGCCCAGTGGTTCTTGAGAAGATTTTTTAATGACCCTATCCTATTTTTGTTTTTTCTTGATTATCTCCCCTTGTAAAGGGGCTTTGCCCTTCATTTTAACAATTTAAACTCCCCTTCACCCAAGGATGCTTTGTACTAATTTTGGTTAAAATTGACCTAGCGCTTCTTGACAAGTTGAAAATATGAAAAGTTTACAGATGGACGGACGGACAATGGGTGGTCAGAAAAGCTCACTTGAGCTTTCAGCTCAGGTGAGCTAAACCGAGGGGGGGGGGGGGGGGGGGGGGGGGGGAGAGGGAGGGACTTTGGTAGGTGTATCTTTTGACAATTTGTTAACAGACAGTGCTTTACTTCACAGAAGTTTTCCTACTCTACAACGATTAAAAATTTAGGAATGAAAAGACATTTTAGAAACAAGAGATGTTTGTGAAACACTTATGCCCCCCCCCCATCCCCCCGAAATAATTGGAATTTTTCTATGTTCAAGGGTCATAACTCTGTCAAAAATTGCTCGATCATACCCAAAACAGAACTTGACCTAGATATTCTTATGATAAATCTGTATACCAAATTTCATTTCAGTATGTGCAACCTCTGCGAAGAAAATGAACAAAAACTGTTGGTGGACCAACCGACAGACTGACTGATAGACAGCATCAAAGCAATATGCCCTCCCTTCTTAGAAGGGGGACATAAAAATGAGCAAAGACAAAGTATTGATAAGTACATACATGCGCACAATGCATGTTCATAAAACTATGATATTGAAATGATAAAAGACACTTTGACAATGCTCTAAATACAATCAGTGACTAATTCAAATGTTCATATTTCATATACATCATGGATTAAAAACTCTTTCTATCTCCCCAAAATCCACTTCCCCTCTGAAATCTTTGATGACTTCAAGGAGCTTCCTCACAGTAGCTTGTCTCCCCTCCTTCTTTCTCCAGGTATCAAGAATTTTGAAAATCTGTGTCCGCACACCTTGACTCTGGTAATCAATCTTTATTTGTTCAACTGTAGCACTGTCTACTTCTAGTCCAATCCCAATTAATTGGAAAATGGCCCCAATATGTCTACTGACCATCAGAAGTTCCTTATCTGTTGGTGTTCTTTCTAGTCTTTCAGCTGAAATGATTATTTTTACATTTAGTACTTGCAAAAAGCTTAGACTATATATTCGACTACATGAGCTTTTCCTTCACAGAAATATAAGTCTTTTCTCATAAAACCATAGCACTGGTCAGCACTATATTAATTATGTAGTATACAAGGTAAGATAGATTGACGACAGAATTTTAGTATCACATAAACTCTTCTGTTAAGCTTTCAAAATTATTTTCCTCTTGTTTCTGATAAGTCCAAAAATTAAAAACATAATCTTTATTATTTCTTTGTTTTAATTTTTGTCAATAAAGCTATCGATTATTTGACATTGACCCCTCTTCCTACCCCATCCCCCTCCCTTCCAATTTCTTATTTTTCATTGCACGTGTTATCACATATAGAGCTATAACCTTTCCTGTTACGTTAAATTAACATTTCTTAATGTGTTTACAGTATGCAAATACTCTTAAAAGGACTAAAGTATTTATATGTAGCAAAAACCAGTAGATTTTGTACTTGTTTTCGGTAGTACATGTATTAAAATAAAAGAGGGCGTGGCACTTCCTGTGAACAAACTTCACCCAAGGATGTTTTTGGCAGGTTTGGTTGAAATTGCCCCAGTGGTTCTGGAGTAGAAGTCGAAAATGTGAAAAGTTTACAGATGCACAGACAGACAGACGCCAGACATAAAGTGTTTAGAAAAGCTCGCTTGAGCTTTCTGAGCAAGTGAGATTAACGAATTTAAAAAAAGAGTTAACACTCCCCCTCTATATACACAAACTTTGGTTTATGATACACATCCAAGATGCATCAACTAAAACATTTGGTGATAGTAGGTTTCTCAACACAAATTGTGATACTTCGTACTACACCAAAATTCAACAATAAATCCGATACTTACTTCTGAGATATGACACTTGACCCCACCCTGACCTCTCATTCATTATACCCAAAGATGCGACACTTGACCCCACCCTGACCTCTCATTCATTATACCCAAAGATGCGACACTTGACCCCACCCTGACCTCTCATTCATTATACCCAAAGATGCGACACTTGACCCCAACCTGACCTCTCATTCATTATACCCAAAGATGCGACACTTGACCCCAACCTGACCTCTCATTCATTATACCCAAAGATGCGTTAACTGACAATTTTTGAAGATTTTAGGCCAATATTATGAAAGATATAATGTGCAGGAACACAAAAAGAAAACAAGCAGACAGAAGGGCATACAGACAAATTGAAATGGTATATCAAAATACAGGTCGTCAAAAGAGGGACGTATGATGATCTTAAATGTTAAACAGTTAGTTAAACTGCCATTATAATACAGGTTAAGGAAATAATGGACAGTGAGGAAACCTGGACTTTCGAGTTTTCCTTCTTTGTCGACATCCTTCTTTTGCTGTTCCTGTTTGATAAAAAGATCATACCTATTAATAACTTACATATATATTCAAAATTCATGACAGATTCTTTGTGAAACTTATTTTTTGTTAGTCAAAAAATGATTGAAGGGTTAATATATTTTTTTTTTGTTTTATAGAGCATTAAAATATCTTGGAGTTTAAGATTAAGAATAAAAAATTCTTAAACTTTTAGAATTTTGATTTGAGCATTTTATTCTCTTCGGAAATACTTAACTTAAAACAATGTATATTTGGAGGAATTTTCGCTCTGTAACTATATTAATTTGATAAATGCTGTCTAGTTTTTCGAAAATATATCCTAAATTACTTAATTCCAAACTATATGATATCTCTTGTTTTTATTGTAGGATATGTTTTATAATTATAAATTATAGAGTACCTGTTTCCAATATTTTGTGACATCGCTTGAGTTAATTTTATGCTTTTTCCTGGCTGGACAGGACGGACACTGAAAAGTCGCTCTTGTAAACTTCGATTCCTTTATGACAGCGCTTTCTTTGCTGTCACAGAATCCAGCAGGTTTGCATTTGAATGCAACATGGAATCCAGAGTTATTCTGAAATGTGTTTGAAAGATTGTGTAATATACTTTCAATTCTGTCTCTGATCTGGTGACATGTTGAGACATCAACTTCTCCCTCTGTAACAAACACTTGTAATTGAATATCTGTTTTAGTCATTCCAACCATGATGTTATGGTGCAGGTCAGGAAACACGAAAATAGCTACAGTCTGGTAAATGCATCCTCGGTCTTCATCAGAAAAAAATTCCCAAGGAATCTGAATGCAAGTTGCTACAAGGCGATGGAAAATGCCAGCAGGAAGAACATCAAACTCGTAGCAGAGGATGGAGGAGGCAGGGTATTCTGTAAAGCTACTGGCAGGGAATGGTATTTTATTCATACATGGAACATACCATTTATTATGTTGTTCCCCCATGTCAGCTAAGAGTCCTAGCTTCTGCATGTATGGCAAAATCTCATTTTTGTGTTCAATATAGCCCTTATTGTTCATTTCCCAAACAGCTGACAGCAAGGTGTCAGTTAATTCTCCGGTTTCATTGAATTCTCTCCATTCCTTCGCAAACATCACTAAATCTCTCACTGCATGGTTTTTATCTGTTATGACATTTTTGAATGCATCTGCAAACCACTGAACATCTAGAATAATTATATCATCGAGGGATTCTTGGTTAAAATGCAATATTTCCCTGATGTCATGGAAAAACTGCAGCATCACATGCACATCTTCTGCTTTTTCCAGTTTTATTTCCCGTGGCAATTCTGCATTAAATGACAGCAGTTCTTTTGTATCTATAATCTTCAGGTGTTTCTTTTCCTGGAAAAAATGTTCAAATATAGCCCACGAACGTGGCAGCTGTTCGCCCCAGTGATCAAGTTCTTGAACAACATTAGCAATCGACAGTTTAATTTCTTCAATGCTCTCATTGTCATGGAAACCAACAGCAAACATCCTTTCTTTGTCAAAATGGCGCTGCAAGGACTTGTCTTTTGTGTCAAGAATTATGCAAACATCTCCAAAAAACTTCAGTTTCTCCTGAAGAAAATTAATTCTAATCAGCAAGAAGACTTTATTTTTGTAGAAAAAAATGATTGTAGATTTAAAAGAAGTAGTCGTAGATTATAAAATTAAAAAAACCCAATAATATACAAAATATGTTTAATGAACTGTATTACATAAAATCACCCTTACCACCTCTGTTTTTTCTTCGGCATGTGTGCCAATAAGTAGAATGGGGGCCTTATCACTACCGTATTGATGAAGGGACTTCACCCAAAATGTAAGATAATCTGAATAAAAAAAATACATAAAGCAACATTTCTTAAATGAAATAAGCTTGGCTCTGTTGATGTCATCATAATATCCATAACTTTGATAGCATAGCTTATTATAAGGAACACAATTTGGGCATTGAAAACCATCAATTAAAATAAAATTCAAAATGCAGGATAGAAAAGTTACAACCATACTTTGTTCATTAAATGTCATTTAAGCACTGAATTATTATTAGTTGAAATATGTAGTCATTTAATTGCAAAGGTGTGTGCCAAAAAAAAAAAAATTAATAAATAAAAATGATTGCACCCTAAATTACTCAATTCGTTCAATTTTCAACCAAAGCGTGATATCATCTTTCCAGATATGAATAACTTTGGCATAATGACAGGCAAAAATTAATATTAGGTGAAACATATACAAAAGACCTTACACTCGTTTCTTTTATAATTTTTATAATTTTATGACTAATTAACCTTGTCTTCCAAGCAAGTCCCTATATTTAATTCGTGGCGGATCTAAATGAGGGGCAATGCATTTTTGAAATTTGCTGTGGTGTAAAGAAATTATATTGTACTGTGAGGAGAAAGCAAGATTACTTTGATAATTTTCAACAAGAAAGAGGCTCATAGAAAAACCTTAATATATTTGATATTGTAAGATAAAAAGCATTCCTTCAAACCTTTATAAGTCCATTCCTTAAAAATTGAGCCTTCCTGGCAACACACTTCCTCTCCAACCTTATCATCAAACCTTTTCTCCATATTGAGCACCAGAATGAAGAATGCCCGTGGACTCAGAAAAATCTGATGCGACGCATAATAAGCACACTGTCCCGCAAAATCAACCATAGTGATTCTTTTCTCAGGATCATCAGAAACATTTCTTGTAACACGTAAAATTCCCGATATTTCAGAGTCTTGAGCAACATTCTCCCTATCATCAATTTCTCCTATAGGTTTATCAGACAAAGTAGCAGCGTTGATTCCTTTCGACAAATCAGCTTCAAGATTCATGTTGGCCCCTGACGTCTGTTCCACACTAACTATGTCACTGGCAATGTTTTCACCTTCCATTGGTACTTCAATATCCTGCTTTTTTAAATCATCAGTTACTTCTACTGGGGGTTCTGGAACATCGTGGATTTGACTGGTTTCATCAAATGTTACCTTGAAGTGTTGTTTTTGATCTGATGAGTTTACTGAAAAAGAAATACATGCATGTTGATCTGTTGTTTCTAAGGAAAATTACTTAAATCAGATCCCTCTTCTGGAAAACGTACTAAAGATCCAGCATCTGAACCAAATTTTGTAGCATGGATCCATAGATATATCATCCATGCAATTTTGATCACCAAAATGCTAATATTTACTTAAGAATGGACATGCTCCTGCAACTTTAACCTGGTCAATTATCCGTAATATCAAGGTTAGATCCAGCACCTGAAGCAAGTATGGTACAGACCATGAAACCTGCTACTACACCATTAAAGTGTGTGATTTTTATGGGATTTTTTTTGTTTCGTTTTATTCGGTATTGTATTTCATAAGAGTTTGTAGTTAGTACCGGTATGCAGGATGCGTAGTAGCACATTTCGGGGCCTGGAGCTCTCATCCCAAGATGAATAATCATTTCAAGTTTGGTCCAGCTAGGGCTTAATTCAGAACTTGTTGGTGAGATGCAGTATCCAAAGCAAGTCTTGAAGTGTGTATCCCTACATGTAGTATGTTTTTATGAAAACAAAAATACCTTTGATGGTGTTTGACACATCAAATATGTCATAATGTACATCAATTCCCCTCGTTGATTTGGTATTTTTCAGAATTTCTTTTAGGTCAATACCCTTCAGTCTCTCTAACAATGTTGTTTTCCCACTACCAGCACACCCTACTATCATCCCAGAGGCGTGGTACATCATCGTTCTACCTTTCCTCAGATTCTCGATGTAGTTCTTCACGGTTTTATCTCCTCTCATTATTATCTGCATTGGTATGCCAACTGTAAAGAAAATAAATTATAAAACCAACCTGTTCCAAGAGTTCATATTTTGACTTTGAAACTATTAATGTAACTGAATATTTAGCTGCAGAACTGTAGAGTTATGGTTTTATATTTTAGTCTTTGACCATAACGCTACAGATCCCGTTATGCAAATATGGTACAATTTACGGCGCAAGATTTTCTGCGCATGGTTGGGGAGAATTTTTCAACTTTCCAGAATTTGCCAATCAACTACCTTTCACTCCCTGATTCTAGACATTTTTTATCCAAACTGTATATTTTATCCACTCCCTCCCTAACCCCTTACAATCATCCCTACAGACCAATAAACTTGCTTGTTTTTATTCTCTGCCATCCGACATCAATTTTGAAGGGTTTAAGGCCGTAACTGCCGATCACAGGTCTTAATTTGAAGACCTCCACAGGGTTTGACATTAACATTTATGAGTACTAGACCAGTCGGGCTACTTACAATAATTTTTACTAGCCCTGACCATAAAATCACTAGCCCTGACCAAACTTGAAAATTTTACTTTTTTATAATCTGCTAACTATAATGGGAAAAAAGTTTCGAAACCATACTTTAATAAAGACACCGTCTCTCGCACCTGTTAAGATATATTTTGACAGACTGTTCCATAGGTCGCTGGCCATTAGGTCGGGTTAAGCGTGACATGCAAATATTGCAAGCCTTAAGGAACAATCAATGAACTTAAATAAAATATTACCCTAAATATGAATACATTGTGAATTAAAGAATATAATATATTATTCAACAACTATTCATACTAATTTATACTGAAAGAAGCTAGTTCCCATCGCAACTTGTCTATTACAGCTGGGATAAAAAATAGCCATCGTGTCATACAGGGAAGTTTTCTTTTACAGAGCGATGGCTGATGTTAACAATCAGACAAATAAGAATCTAACAAATAAAATTAAAACTCTTTAGAATATTTATTTGAAAGACTGAAAATTAATGAGGGTTATCATTTATTTCATCCACACGACCAGTCAGTCTAGTTCACATATATTTTCCACGACCGGACCACTCATTTACTTGGACGTGCCTTAGTGTCAAACCCTGCCTCCACCAGCAAGTGGTGTCGTCTCAACAAGAGGGAAAATTTTCTGAGGAACATTAAACAAACTAACCCTAGGATGTCTGATGGACTGGTGGATATTCAGTTAATGTTGAGTCCTGTGGGATCCAGGGGTGACCTTGATGTTCACTAGAGTATGAAAACGTTCACAGGCTATAATCACATTGGCCCCTCCCGAACTGGGACTCTTGGATCTAACAAGCAGTACAAACTATACATACCCTTGCTGAATACCATGTCATGTACGGATGTGTCCTGCCATGTTGGGTGTTTGAAAATATCTTCTCCAAGTCTTTCTATCAATTGTTCCGTTTGTTGTGGCAATAACCAGCAGAAGACTTCATTCACTTGTGAGGGGTATATCCATGACCTGCAGTACTCAACTATATTTTCTTTTTCTGCCCAAGTCAGAAAAATATCCAGAAATTTAGGATCTTCTACAAAATTGAGAAAACTGGCATGTCTAAGGAATTCATGAGAAAACATTATTTCTGAATTGTTATATTTCAGTATTGGACTAAATTTTTCCAAATTGGCAGGGCTGGATTCTGTCGTGATTTTCTTGAAATTGAAACTTTCTGCAACAGCATTGTATTTCTCAATCCAACGTCCCTCTTTTAGATTGATTCTGTATAACTTGCACAGAAGAAGGCACATCAACACTGCATCTCCATCTACAAATTGTAAAATTAATGTTACAGTAATGTATGTCCTTCTCAGAATTAAGTCTATGCTATGATTACTCCGATTTTTTGTTAACAAATCATTTTTCCATTTATACAATAGACAAAATTCAGTAGAGCTGCCCCCACAAGAAACTAAACAGAGGACATTCAGTACATGTTTTTACAGCGTCTGATTACTCTAGAATTTAACATTTAGTTATGCCCCTTAAAGTAGCCCTCTATCTTGAAAACCTTTTGATTTACGGACATCAATTTTGGTACAATGGTACTCACTTAGAAGAAAATTACCCCCAATATTGAGGTCTGAAGGAGATAAAAACTTACATGCATTTTTATGTTTGCCCCTTACTAAGAGTTGACCAATTACCTTTTTTTCAGCATCATTACAGTTTAAATTTAAAGTTGTTCCCTTTTTAATTTTACCAAATGGAGGGGGGTATATGTTTCTCAATCATTTCTTGTTTTCTTTATCATTACATTTTGATTGTAACAAACCTATTTGTGTGTGAATCTCCCCCAAGCTTCTCCTTACATCTCTACAGTCATGTCCTCTATGATCTTCTGAGGTGCACTCCTTACACAAGGGAACCTCACATGTGACACAGAAGTCTTCCAATGTACCTCTGGGATGATATTTGCATTTTGGGAGGCCTGTTTGTAAAAGAATTGATTTGTTATTGACAGACAAAATCAATTTGGAAAAGTGAGTTTTGACTTTAGCATCTTCTTCATTCTTCAATTCTATTCAAAATTGAAAAATAGAGAATTTTGAATTTCAGTATTGTGACATTTTAAGGCGTAATTATTTTTATGAAAATGAAAAAAAAATCGACCGGGCCCATATCAAGGAGAAGAGAAATGTTACAATTAAAAGATTTGAAAATAAAAATATATATTTTCCGAACGTCATCCATGGTACATTATAACCACTAAGGAATTAATTTGCATCATGAGAATAATAAAAATCTTCAAGGGCAAAGTTCACAAAAATTTTGAAATTTCCCATGTAAAATGTATATCAGGAATCAAAAGTTTACTTGCATCTTAGGAAAATAATGTTTAATATTGTTTGCTGTAAATTTAAACCAATACGATATTGAAGTCAAAACTAATTTGAAACAGCTTTATGACAACAACTTATCTATTGACCTTGTTACAGCTGTAACCCCAGAAACTGTCTCTAGCAAATTTCACCCTAGCTCTACGCCCCCCCCCCCTCCCCATCTCCTTCAATTTTAAATAGAGCAAAAAATCTCTGCACATAAACATAAACAGACCAACAGACAAACGTAAACTTTTACTAATTAGATGAATATATTTTCATAATTTCTGAGCAGTACACTTAAAACTGTGTTGCAGCCTGTAGAGAGTTCGTTATAATATTGATAACGTTCTTTACTGTATCCATGTTCTATATCAATCTGCCAAATAAGCTGTATCTTTAATTAATGCATGTCAGATTTATTTGGTAAATCACTTCAAATTTAATTCAACTGCTTTAAAATTCTTTTTCAATTAATTCTATTTATATTTTTTTATGCAAAGATTGAGCTATCACTATACTTATTTTACAGAGCACAAAAATACTGTACATGTAATATACATACAAAGTTAACCCAATACACAGTGTAGATTACCCCCTACACCTGCTACAGAAATACACAATTCATTTTCAGACAGAGCTGTGTTAATATCAATGGTGTTTATATCAAACAGCAGAAAATGTAACCTAGCTCTTATAAAAACATGTAATATGTTAATGAATAATGATATGTTAAAAATACAGTGACTATATATACAACCCACCCACCTACCCCCACCCCACAAAGGCTTTTAAACTTTTCTCACGTAAATTAAACTCTACGTAATGATGTCTTATTACAAACAAAGAACAAAAAAACTGAATAGAAATGTTAGAGTACATATTGTATATTATATACAGATAAATGTAGATTCTATGTACACATGTAGTATGAATTAAAAAGATCTTAACAGGTAGTTTGTGGAAAATAAACAGTCACAACAACATGTTCTTATATACTACCACTACATAATACACAAACAAAAATAATTATATAATTATATATATACTAATTAAGTCATAGTAGAATTATATTCTGTATAGTCTTATACTTGTTCTTTAATACTTACTTACATATCTATAATATATGTAATGTAACCGCACATAAAAATGTAACAATTAACTCCCTAATGTATTCTGCAGTAGTTGATTATTTTGTACAACACAGATTTTTTAGAGAGCATAGATAAACAGGGATCCGAACATTATTACTTACCAGTCAGAGAGTCTCTGTCTACCACTCTATATATGTTTACTGTGTTGTTGATGGCTGAACCTACCCACAGTAGGTGTGTGGTATCATCATAACTCAGGCCCTGTGGTCTGTTTATCCCGTGTGGTGATGTCTGTATCTGTGACAGGAAGTTACCTTCTCTGTCTATCATCTGTACTGAGTGGGTGAACCAATCACACACCAGGATGTGTGACAGCCCGTCTGTACAGATTCCACGTGGTCGTAGTCGTGATCCTGATGGAGGTCCTGTGTAGGAGAAGCGAAGACTTCCACCACGATCTGTCACCACTACAGCATCACGGCCAAAGTCAGACACAATAACATCTCCATTGCGGTTCTCTGTGATGTAGCTAGGATATCTATACAGTCTCTGACCTGTGTTGTTGTTGTACTGTATGGTCTGGATGTGTTCTCCTGTGGAGTTATACTGCACTAACTTGCCTGTCTTTGTATCAAATCTACACATCCCGACCAGCAGGTCTCCAGTGGAGGGGGAGCTGTAGACACTCAGTGGTCTCCATGGTGCTGTGTACTTTATTAATGTAGTCTTTACTTTGTTCTCTGTAGACAGTTTGTTTATGTTATCGTGACTGTCTATATAAATTAAATCACCGTCATTGTTCACAGTGTGTCCTCCCCATATACTACGTATATCTGTCAGATGATGTAGTTTATCCCCTGCTGTGTTTGTCAAGATGAGATTGAATAGATCACTGATCCAGACCCGGTCTGAGGATACACGGGAAATGTGACTACACTTCCTAACACTTGTCACTGTGACAGATTTCTGTAACACTAATCTATACATCATTGACAGCAGACATTTATTTCATCTTTATCCTGTGGTTTTATAACAGAATCCCGTGTTGATTTCCTCAGTCAGGGAGATTTCTCTGTCAATTACAACACACTGCTAGAATCACTGACATGAATAACATAGACTCTCTTTACAATTTTTTTTTAAATCTAACTAAATAGGTCATTAAATAATTGTCTATTTTAAAACATTATATACTGTCTTTACATTTAGTTCATTTATATATGTTTCTAGGCTTTATACATAGTTTGTGTATTAACATATTAATCTTAAATCATCTTAAAGTTAATTACACTATATATATATCGATTATTTCTCTCACTTCAAGACTTGCATAACATATTATATAAACATGTCATGACATATCGAGACAAGTTCTCAAGTAATATAGAATTCTGTTGCCCCTGAAAACACTGTGAGTCGTACCTTATATATGGTGCTGAAGCCTTCGGTTACATTGTTTGATTAAGGAGACTGACTGACACTGACTAATTGAGGAGAGTCATTTGTACACAGCACTGGACTGGAATCTGATCTAAATTAAAAATTGCATTAATACAAAATCCCATTGTTAAAGATCAATTGACAATTTTCATTAGATTGATATCAATATATGAACGTGTAATAATTCTTAAATTCATATTTTTGATTGTGTCAATTTAATTATGTAGAAACATGTGAAAGATCAATTAAAATCAATGGAATATTACATCAATTCAATCTTGCTTACTTTCATAAGAAAACACCATATATAATAGCACTTTATACAGTGAACAACACTGATATAAAGAAGAGGCCTCTGTGCCACAATGCTCACCTGTGCCACCCCTCCCTGTTCTTCATTACAAGAGTAAAAAATAAAATTCTATTTTAATTCACTAGAAATTTTTTCCCATGTTGTTGTTCAGCCTTAGCCCAAAGGATCATGAAAACTAACTTGGAACAACTCTTCCTAGAGATCCATCAATATCAGTATGACTAATATGGCCTTTCTGTTCTGAAGAAGAAGTAAGCATTCAATAGATGAGAACTGCTCCTTGATTTAAGCCTTACTCTAACCCTAGGATCTATTATTTGAAGAAAAAACAAAACAAAACAAATCCAAACAATACTGGAATGTTTCTATGTAAATGTGATTTAGTGTAGCTCTGGGTTTTTTTTTTAAAGGAATGTTTTAAAAATAAAACCCTTCTTATTTTTCTTTTAAAATATTGGTCTCCCATTGTAGCCCAAACTTACTGTGGGGAAAGAGAGGAGGCATGATTTAAGCAAACTTGAGTTGGTACTTCATGTAATATGAATTCTAAGTAATCATGACCCTGCTGCTCTTGAATAGAAGATTTTAATTTTTTTCTCTATAACACACCAATTCCCAAGTAAAAATTTGATTTCCTATTGGGGTACCACCTTACTCCTGGGAGTCATGATTTGAAAAGACTTGAATCTGCACTCCATGAAGATGACTACAATTTAATATAACTAATTAGGGCCCTGCTGTTCATGAGAAAAAAAATTCAAATATATTTTTCATATAATATACCCAAGTATAACTTACTGTGATCCTTTAATATGGACATACATGCCCCCACCTTGGGGGTCATGATTTGAACAAACTTGTACCTGCACTACCTATAGATAATTCACCTACAGACTTATTTCAAAAAGATTTCCCCCCTTTTTTTCCATGAAAAATATAGATCCTATATTGTAACCTGACCTTAATTTTAAGTGGGCCTTTAATTCAGAGAAAATAATGATAATTCAATATCAACATTACTGACATTGATCTGCATTTATGGAGATTATATTTTTCCTGTATACAAGCATAAGATGATCCACAATTTTAACCCAACCCAAAACCATGATCAATAAATTGGGGAAAATTCAACACAACTTGAGAATATTTGCATTATTCTTTTGCTATTTATTCCAATGAAAATTCTGATATCAAATAGCGGGCTCATCCTACGCTCAGAATTTAGAATTAAAACTATGCCAGGGAGTTTACTTGTAAGTTTCATTTTTTTGTTTTTTAAAATGTTTTTATGGCCCGTTATTGAAGATTTGGGGGCATATAGTTTTTGTCTTGCCCATCCATCCGTCTAGTTGTATGTTTGTTCGCCAAAAAACTTTAACCTTGCCCATAACTTTTGATTGGTTGCAACTATGGCTTTCATATTTCACATTTATATACCTTGTGACAAGACCTTTCTTTGGATACCAACATATTTGACTTCTGGACCTTGGAATTTGACCCACTTTTGCAAAATTTTATCAAACTTTAACTTTGGCATTAATAATGAACAGTTGGTGCTAGGGTTGTCATACTTTACATCTGTATTCTTGTAGTAAGACCTTTCTTGGATTTAGATATTTTTTACCTTTTGACCTTGACATTAGAGTTTAACCCACTTCTTAAAAACTTTAACCTTGGCAATAACCTTTGAACGGTCAGTATTAAGGCCTTCATATTTCACAGGTGTATTCCTTGCTACAAGACCTTCCATTGGATACCAAAAATATTGACCCTTTAACCTTGACCTTTGAGTTTGACCTACTTTTAAAATAAACTTTAACCTTAGTCATAACTTGTTGGTGCTACAACCTACATATATTACAAAAGTACTTATTATAACAAGAACATTACTTGGTAATGAACAATTATGACCCTTTGACCTTGACATTTGTGTTTGACCTACTTTTAAAAAAACTTTAACTTTGGCCATAAATTTGGAACGATTGGTGATATGGCTTTCATATTTTACGTGTTATGTCGTGACAAAACCGTTCCATGAGTGCCCACAGTTTAACCTTTTCTCTTGACCTTGAAGTAAATGGATGGTGCCAGGGCTATGATATTTCACGAATGCATTTCTTGTGACAAGACCTTCCCTTGGGCACCATGAATTTTTATCATTTGACCTTGACCTTTGACTAACTATTCAAAAAATTATAAACCTTGACATAATTTTCGTTGGTGCTACGGCTTCTATATTTCACACCTATATTTCTTAAGAGTAGATCTCTTTTTGGGTAACAGCATTTTTTTTCTCTTAACTTTAGAGTTTGACTTGCATTTAAGGAATTTAAACCTTTGCCATAAGCTGCCATATGGGGGCATCAGTGTTTCACAAACACATCTATATATTCTCATAATCCCATGTCAACCTTTGATCCTGTATTGTCGTCCATCCCTTCCCTCGGGAATCATGATTTTAACAATGTAGAATTTACGCCAAAAAATAATCTTTAGTTTCTCGGGCCAAACATTTCAAAATTCAATGTGGCAGGCAGGTTTTTCACAAAAATGATATCAACTGATTCTTACTTTTTATTCTCCTACAGAAATTGAAAGATGTACTCAATTATATTTAAATTTATTCTATCCATTTGTATATAAATCAATTAACAAGATACCGTATTACCAAGAAATATAGTGTGTACCTAAACATTATGCATGAAAAAGGAGATAACTCAATCTTATTTTTGAACTTGAAAAAAAAAGAAAGAAAATTTGGTTATTCTCTTTTTCAATATGTCAATAAGGTTTGATCAATGTGGCAATACTTGAATTGTTGCGGCAGTGACTGAGGATTTTTAGGCCTTATTCAGTAAATGACCCCCTATATATACGCTAAAGGATAAAATTTTTTTTTTTTTTTTTTTTTCTTTTTTAAATTTTCTTTGGACATAAGGAAAATTATAATTTATAAAGATGTAATTATTGTAATTTTGAACATAAGGAAATTGGCATTTACATGTACCCTCAAGAAATATGTTCAAGGACAATGGAATGGAGTATTGGTGAGCAGAAATCACTCTTGTTATTTTATTTTGTGAAAATACATAGGAATATTGTGTTTCATAACTTTATTTTGGTCTCTTGAAATGCTGAGAATGTTTGAATTGATTACAAATTGAGTAATACACTATATATTTCAATTTAATCTGTTTTAGATCAAATTGCAAAAAAATACCACAGAATCAGAACTCTTCAGTGTGCAGTGTATAGAGGGTTCTTAAGGAACTTTATACATGTTTCATCTTTTGTGACCCAGAGATTCTTGAAAAGGTTTTTACATTTCTAATGTAAACTTTGTTTCCATATTACGGCTCCACATTATCCTAAATACCCTCTTAATTATCTCTCCTTGGAAATGGAAATTGACCCTTCATTTAAGTGATTTTAAATCTATTATAACCAAAGATTCTAATTCTATGTACCAACTTTGGTTAGAATTGGCTGACTTGTGATTAAAAATATACATGACAAGTTTACAGATGGATGAGTTCATCTAGCCACACAGACAAACAGACAGTGGGTGATCAGAAAAGCTCAAGAGCTTTTGACTTAGGTCAGCTTATAAAGTAATAAAGAAAGTATATACCACAGAGATTTCCTTTGGCTATGTAGAGCACATTGAACCCTGTGTCTGTGTCATTACGACTTGGGCGGCAACCTGTACAAACAAAATGATGCTACATCATTACATTCTTGGAACAATCTCTGTTAAAAAAAAACATACCTATATTATTGCATTTTATTCTTCATAAAATATATCAGTCATCATCATGTAAAATAATGCCGCATTTATAAGGCTTTTTACAACATGAAAGGGGATTAAATTGATTTTCAAATTTTTCAACTTAAAAAAAGTTTTTCCCCCTTTTCTGCCATGCTTCTAACATTCTGTTTCTATGAGAAACAATATATATTTTTTTAAAACAATGTTTAATCAGAAAACATTTTAGAAAGTATTGATAATTTAATGTTTTTAGAGTATTAAGTATTAGAAAACAATAATGAGTCATTATCTCTTGACAAGTGCTAAAAGAGATAACACCTGCTATTCAGCTAAAATAAATTAAAAACTAGAAATATGTACACAGGGCATGAATGCCCGGCCAAGGGTTCATCAGGAAACTATCTTAAATAGTTTCCTTAAAACTTAATTTTATAGACAATAAATAATGAAGAAAAAGGTAATTGGGAAAGTCAAGGTAAA